TAGTAATGACACAATTTTCATATTATGTTATCATAGGTAAATACATGGTTTATATAATTTGTTTATCACTGTGCCCGTCACCATTTTCAAATTAGACTACATACAAGATATGTACGAGTATTTCTCCCATACGTACGCCTGGCTACACTTGGCAGCGGGAGCAGGTAAGGGAGGAGTGACCCCTAGTTGAGTGTCGTCTGCAGTTGTAACTCTCCTCGCTCTCTACCATATTTCACTGGATTAACTGTTATTATTAGTGTTTACTGATAGAATAGTGATTAATCATGGCATTGTAGCTATGTTAAACTCATCACTGTAACCACCAGGCTACTGGGACAAGATGTGAGGTGTTACGGTTGTTTTTCAACTCATATTTTTGGGTAGATATACTTAACTTTCATTTTATTTTTTACTCAGTTACATGCACACACCATCCAACATACATATTGTAAAAAAGGGAAAAGAATTATTTGTCCTAAGAGCAAACACATATATTTCTTTACACATGAGTTAGCTGGCTCAATGAAGGGAGGGGGGAAGGGCACAGAGTGTAACCAGGAACTGGGTGGGGGGGGGGGAGGAGCGTTGCCAGGGAGATGGCAGAGGTTGAGTCCCAGCTGGTTTCTGTTACTATGGCGAACCAGGGAGTGTATGCAAATGGCGACTGTGTTAACTTTCATTTGGATTTTATTTACTGGTTTGGCAACACAGTAATTTTTGTTGTACAATATTGTACAGTATTACCCTGCTTTACACGGTTTCACCGCTGATTTTATTTGCGATTTCTCATTTACGCGGTACCTTGCCAGAACCGGACTTTCACTTTCATGTGCATCTACTCATATACTGTAGGCAGTGAGGTATAATTTTTTTTTTATTTAGCTCATAAAATTCATACAAATTACCCTGCCAAAATATAATTTACATTGCTGGAATTCTTACAATATGATGATCATTTTGAATATAAACATCATGGATTTTGCATTAGACATACAAATTTTAGATCTAATGTAATAATTTGGTTTACACAAAGCAAATATTTTATCTTTTGTGCAAAATATATGAAGTTTACATTCAAAATATTCCCTGACCTGCAAGGAATCCAGAAATGTCAATTATATTATCCTAACTTTAGTCTGAGGTATTATTTATTACTAAAAGTTAAAATCTATTTTTTTCACCCAAACATTTCTCTGGTAGGGAGGGAAGGTGGGGGGTGGGGGGGAGGGTTGGAACCAACCGACCCAGCTGGCGTGAGTGTGAGGGGGAGGGGAGGCAAGGTGGGGTACTTTGATTGACAGATAGTGTCGTGAAGAATATTTTTTTTTTATTACCTGAAGATATTTGTTTTAGCTCATAAAATTCATACAAATTACTCGGCCAGAATATAATCTACATTGCTGGAATTCTTACAATATGATGATCATTTTGAATATAAACATCATGGATTTTGCATTAGACATACAAATTTTAGATCTAATGTAATAATTTGGTTTACACAAAGCAAATATTTTATCTTTTGTGCAAAATATATGAAGTTTACATTCAAAATATTCCCTGACCTGAAAGGAATCCAGAAATGTCAATTATATTATCCTAACTTTAGTCTGAGGTATTATTTATTACTAAACGTTAAAATCTAGTGGTTTCACCCAAACATTTCTCAGAGACGTAGGAGCTAGTGAGCTGGGAAGAGAGGGGCGGGATTTGAGTCCATTATTTGAATGGACACTAACCTAGCGACTGTATTTCTCTTAAATATTAATTGTGTGAGCATACCATCATAAAATTTAGATGTTATTTTTACTACAACATAGGTATTGTGTTGGAAAAAGTGGAGTTTGGGGGTAGGGCCAGTCTCTATTGGAATTAATCCCATATGTTCTGTTGTTCACTTTCCGCGGTACCCTGTGGGTTCAATTGACCGCGTAAATCGTAAATCGGGGTACCACTGTATCATCAATGAGTCATAACAGAATGAGAGAGGCAGTGTCGGTGAGATGCAGTGGGAGGAGGAAGGTGGGAAGTGGGTGGGAGGCAATGGATGTCGTGCTGATCTGCTCTGGCTAAAGCAAATCCATCTCTGCATCACTGAAATTGTGATTTAGGTGGTGATAACGGAGGTAGTGGTGGTGATCATGCGTCAATCGGTTTGTTTGGTTACACCGGCTGCAGCACTGCCAGACAATTGAACAGCTGATGTCTACCCACAAAATTGAGAATAAGTATAAATGAACGTCATATTCCTTCTACATTACGTTAAATAAATTTCTAATTATGGAGTGAGAATAACAAATACACAATGCACAGTACTGTACAATATTGTTCTGTATATCATGAATAACAGTCATATTAGAATGAGTGAGAGAGACAGTGTCAGTGAGAGCAGTGGGTGAGAGGGATGGAAGGTGAAATTATGATTTAGGTGGTGATAATAGAGGTAATGGTGGTGATCAAGGAGCTGGTGGTGAGAAAGGTGGGGGTGACTTACGTTTTGTAATAGTAGAACGTTCTTCGTTAATCGACAAATGGGTAGAAAAACTTGCTTTTGTTATATTGGGGATTCGTTCAAAAGATTAACGTTCAACGGGGACTTAGTGAACTATACAAAACTACATTCCGTGTGTAGCCGGGAAGAGAAAATGGCGGGGGAAAGGAGGGAGGACAACTCACCACCTCCTGCTCAGCAGCTCACCATCCCTTTATATTGACAGTATGCAATTCACCATAATTCCCATATTATTCAGTTAATTTGGTGCCTGGTTAATAAAACCTGATCAAAAAATATTTTTCATCAAAAAAATCCCACTCAATCCCAGAGGTGCTATTGCACCATAATATATTCTCAGTCACTTGTTTACAGAGCGGTAACAGCTGATCAGCCCAGCTGACCCATTTCCCTAATAATGTTGCCAGCACTCACTATCTCTCAAGCACCGTTGTTGTAAATGATATTATCAGAACTTAAGAAATATTATTGTAGTGTATAATGCATCTCCATATGCCCTGGTTTATTCACTGATAAGTTATCGAAGTGCAAAACTAGCCAAATCATCGCTCATATATCAATTAATTTTAAAATTATAAATAGATTATTTTGTGGCAGCCAAGGCATGACCAGGTGCAAAAACTCAACAGAAAACGAACAAACAATCGAACACAAAAATTTGGAAATTGTTGAATGTCAAAATATTCCAAACTCAGTTAATTCGGATCTTTCGGAAATTCAAGTGATCCAGAGCCCCCTTTTTTGTCAAACTAACAAGGGTACAGTGTATATCAATTGTTAAGAAAAATAGAGTGACAATTTGAAGTCTTACGGAAAAAATTATCAATATAATACAGTACAGTACTCCCTCTTTATCGACGGATTTTTTATCGACGGTTTCGATTATCGACGGATTATTTAGCCGGATTTTTATTTTGGCACCAAACAGCTTCTCCCAGTCCTCTCCTTGAACAGGGCTAGAGGCTACGTGTTTTTCGAATCGTTTTCAGTTAAAAAATTATTACATCACACGTATATTTTACCTAAACTGCGCTTGAATGAATATATTCTCGGAAATAAATAGTAGTTTTGCTGAAACGTGATGTATTTCAATGTAAAATAGGATAAAATACATGACGAAAACAAAAGACTTTACCTAACCTTCCAATGTTCTTGAGATGTTACTCGTTTTTTTAATAGTTTTCGGTTAAAATTCTGTTATATTACAATGATATTCTATTCATACTGTGCTTGATATAATACATTCACGGAAATGTAATATTTTTGTTGAAATGACGTATGTATTACAGTGGAAAGTGGGATCAAATCGTGACGAAAACAATGACTTGCGCTTTCTTTCGTTCAAAAGATGTTACCGTAATCACTTTTCGAATGGTTTAGTTAAAAACTGTTGTATTGTATTACAATAATATCCTAATTGACTTGAATAAATATTACGATACCATATTTCTGAATATTTTCATTAAAATCCATCAAAATCATTTTCCTTGTCATCGTCTGCAGCACCAAACAGCTTCTCCCAGTCCTCTCCTTGAACAGGGCTAGAGGCTACGTGTTTTTCGAATCGTTTTCAGTTAAAAAATTATTACATCACACGTATATTTTACCTAAACTGCGCCTGAATGAATATATTCTCGGAAATAAATAGTAGTTTTGCTGAAACGTGATGTATTTCAATGTAAAATAGGATAAAATACATGTCGAAAACAAAAGACTTTACCTAAGCTTCCGATGTTCTTGAGATGTTACTCGTTTTTTTAATAGTTTTCGGTTAAAATTCTGTTATATTACAATGATATTCTATTCATACTGTGCTTGATATAATACATTCACGGAAATGTAATATTTTTGTTGAAATGACGTACGTATTAAAGTGGAAAGTGGGATCAAATCGTGACGAAAACAATGACTCACTTTCTTTCGTTCAAAAGATGTTACCGTAATCACTTTTCAAATGGTTTAGTTAAAAAACTGTTGTATTACAATAATATTCCCTCCTAATTGACTTGAATAAATACTTGAATGGAAATATACAATATTTTTGTTGAAACTACCCGCGTTTCAGTGTAAAGTGTTGTAATAATAAATGGTAAACAATTTGCCTTGGGCAGCCGGATTTTTGGACTTTTACTGTACTGTACACTGTTTTGTTTACTGTAAGGACCGATGTTCACTTCAATAAATGAAATCGTAAGTTTGCTAGTATTTTTGTCCACTTATTATATTATTATTTATACACTATTATTTAAGGTTATGCGTAAAGGAAACGCATTAATGCTTAAAGGTACATTTATTCAACATATGCTAATAATAGTTAGAAAAATTACGTAACCATCACGGTATCGACGGTTTCTTTATCGACGGCCGTTTACAGAACGTAACCCCCGTCGATAAAGAGGGAGTACTGTACCTTTAAAAAATAAAATAAATAACAACAATAATAAATCCAAGACAATTATACAGATACAGATGCAATAAAAATGACACCAACCTGTAGAGCACAAAGGAGTAGATGGCTGAAGTTTAACCTCAGTTTGAACCTTTTTCAACTCATCGCCTGAAGTGTAATATGTCACCTGTGTCTTCACCTCATGACAGTGCCTTTCCTGTAGTGAGCAAATACAGGTACACTTTACAAACTCCAATTTTTTCTGGAAAATGTGGAAAACAAATGTCAGGTAAGAATTATAAAAATTATACAGTCGGCCCTTAACATATGCGGGTTTAGCATACACGGATTTGCAAATACGCGGATTGCCCCGCCGGAGGAATATTCTGTACATTGAATATTGAAGTACATTCAAATCGCGCGCCATTCAACTCGCGCACGGCACCGAACACGGGACACCGCCCGCTCCCGCAACCTCACACACATAGCTCTCCCTCACTCAGTCTCGCTGTAACCACGCTTGTGTTGACATCAGCATTGTAGTTGCAAAAATATTACATTTCCGTGAATGTATTATATCAAGCACAGTATGAATAGAATATCACTAATATAAGAGTATTTTAACCGAAAACTATAAAAAAAACGAGTAATATATCTTGAACATCGGAAGGTTAGGTAAATTTTTATGTTTTCATATAGTTTATCCTAATTTACATTGAAATACATTATGTTTCAGCAAAACTACTATTTATTTCTGGAAAGTGACGGAAGCAATGACTTTCGCTTTCTTTCGTTCAAAAAATGTTACCGTAATCGCTTTTCGAATGGTTTTCAGTTAAAAACGGTTGTATTACAATAATATTCTATCCTAATTCACTTGTGATGCAACAGTTTTATTAACTGAAAACCATTCGAAAAGCGATTACTGTAACATCTTTTGAACGCTTTTTTCTGTTTCCAAGCAAATTATTGGTTATTTTGAAATATTTTTACATATTGACAATATATAATAAAGTGCAGTGTTGATTTAAAGAAAATAATCTTGAAATACACCAAGAGAACTAAACTTTTATGGGTGAAATGGTGCCATGGGGTGACTTCTCTTCCACCCCAATGCCTTCTCTTCTTCCTTCTCCTCCACCCCCATCATCCAGGAGCCTTCTACATACACACATCAAAGTAAGTGAACTTTTCTACCATTTTTGTTGAATTTAGGCAATTTTCGGTAAGCTGGAACCAATTACCCAAAAACCCATTGAAACAATGGTTTCGGTTAACAAACAACCCTGCTGGAACAGATTGTGTTCAGAGTGAGAGAGAGAGAGAGAGAGAGAGAGAGAGAGAGAGAGAGAGAGAGAGAGAGAGAGAGAGAGAGAGAGAGAGAGAGAGAGAGAGAGAGAGAGAGAGAGAGAGAGAGAGAGAGAGAGAGAGAGAGAGAGAGAGAGAGAGAGAGAGAGAGAGAGAGAGAGAGAGAGAGAGAGAGAGAGAGAGAGAGAGAGAGAGAGAGAGAGAGAGAGAGAGAGAGAGAGAGAGAGAGAGAGAGAGAGAGAGAGAGAGAGAGAGAGAGAGAGAGAGAGAGAGAGAGAGAGAGAGAGAGAGAGAGAGAGAGAGAGAGAGAGAGAGAGAGAGAGAGAGAGAGAGAGAGAGAGAGAGAGAGAGAGAGAGAGAGAGAGAGAGAGAGAGAGAGAGAGAGAGAGAGAGAGAGAGAGAGAGAGAGAGAGAGAGAGAGAGAGAGAGAGAGAGAGAGAGAGAGAGAGAGAGAGAGAGAGAGAGAGAGAGAGAGAGAGAGAGAGAGAGAGAGAGAGAGAGAGAGAGAGAGAGAGAGAGAGAGAGAGAGAGAGAGAGAGAGAGAGAGAGAGAGAGAGAGAGAGAGAGAGAGAGAGAGAGAGAGAGAGAGAGAGAGAGAGAGAGAGAGAGAGAGAGAGAGAGAGAGAGAGAGAGAGAGAGAGAGAGAGAGAGAGAGAGAGAGAGAGAGAGAGAGAGAGAGAGAGAGAGAGAGAGAGAGAGAGAGAGAGAGAGAGAGAGAGAGAGAGAGAGAGAGAGAGAGAGAGAGAGAGAGAGAGAGAGAGAGAGAGAGAGAGAGAGAGAGAGAGAGAGAGAGAGAGAGAGAGAGAGAGAGAGAGAGAGAGAGAGAGAGAGAGAGAGAGAGAGAGAGAGAGAGAGAGAGAGAGAGAGAGAGAGAGAGAGAGAGAGAGAGAGAGAGAGAGAGAGAGAGAGAGAGAGAGAGAGAGAGAGAGAGAGAGAGAGAGAGAGAGAGAGAGAGAGAGAGAGAGAGAGCGAGAGAGAGAGAGAGAGAGAGAGAGAGAGAGAGAGAGAGAGAGAGAGAGAGAGAGAGAGAGAGAGAGAGAGAGAGAGAGAGAGAGAGAGAGAGAGAACTTTTTTTTTTTGTACGTGGAATAGCCCACCCGGGCACAGGTCATCGACCCATTGGCAGCAGAGAATGTATAAATGATGGGCTTCTTTTAAAAAATAACTGTTAAGGTGCAAAACAATTATCTAAAAAAAATTAATATATTTGATAAACACTGCAATCTCTCAGCTAAATTTTGACCAAAAAAATCGAAAAAAAAAAACGATCAAACTTTTTTGTCATACTTACACCTTCACTTTTTTTACTTGACCGTCTCTTTTGACCAGACTTTTCAAGACGTTCTGGTGAAGATTTTCGCTTAACAATCTTGCCTGACCTGAGACGTGACTGCTCCAGCTCATCTTCCTCAGTGATGTCCATCTGTGATACATCCAGGATAGTATCTGTAATATAAAGGTGTGCCTGTATTGTCATACTGATTAATCCCAAAACTCTTCAGTCTAATGTCTTATATTGTGGCATTTCAAAACACACCTTCATTTACAAAATCTTAAGAATTTTGGAACACACAAAAACTATATACAGTAGTGTATAGCCGAGTGAACATCACAGGGCATTCACAAAGTTTTGTTCTGATATTATATATGAACAGGCACTTACCACTCACCATGGTAAAGGGGAAAGGCACCTACCAAATAAATTTCAGCTTTCTATCTTTAAATTCGGGGAAAGGCATCTGACCTTCACATGGGAGTCATGGTTACCCGGAACCTCTTTTAACTGGAACTCTGCAATAGCTGGAATTGCAATTTACTTGGAATTTTCCAGAAAAATTCAAAATTCTGGGTAATGGAACAAATTCCGAGGTTGAGAACCAGGTGCATTTTCAGAAAATTCCAAGAAAAATTCTGAAAAATCTCAACAAAATTTTCATTTCTGGGCCTGGAATAAATTTTCAGGGCATTCCGAGAGATTGCGTCATGCTCCAACCCATCCCCACATGCCAAGCACGTAGGTGGCCCTGCTATTTGGACTGCTTAGTTCATATTCTGCTGCCATTGTAGAAGGTTGTTCCCTTGCTAGCTGCAGTTTTTGTGTTCAATTTGTGTTGTACAGTGCTGTACACTACTGTACCAGAACAAAATCAGCCAAGAATACAGTGTTAAGAATGTAAAAAGTGATTACAGTTACGTATACCAGGCATGGGCAACCTGCGGTCCATTGGCCACATGCGGTCCAAACCATGTCTTTGTGCTGGCCTGTCGAGTGATTGAGAAAGTATATTTAATGTGGCCCACGGTTCAGGTAGATGCTGCCAGCTTATGGTGAGTAAAGCAATATTTATTAAAAGAGTAATCTTCACACACAATTCATTGCTGTTTCATCATCTAAAAGTAAGTAATAACGAAAACGCATCAGTGAAAAAAGTATAAATAGTCAACAAAATAAAATTTTAATTTGTCCAAGTATACGGGCCAAGTTCGACACAGTCTGCTTGATGGATTAGCTGCTATGTGGGAGTTGGTCATTTGGGAATTAACCCTTAGGCCCCGGGTGACGTTTCAGAACATCCGCCTATTCCCGCCACTTTTTTATTTTTTAAAGTTGATTTTTTTTTATCCCCATGGGGCAGTGGGGGGGGGGGGGGTTATACTAACGTTGGGTAAGTCCAACTGGGTCACATGGGTCAAAGGTAAAGGTCTCTTCCCTGTTGATAGACTTTCTCCATAGTACCTCTTCCTTTTCATCAGGAAATTCCAATACATGTACCCTTTCCTTTATGCAGCATTGTACTCATGCAATTTTTTATTGTAAAAAGTAATTACTATTGACCTCAGAATATCTCCCAATATCAAGTGCACATGGCTTCAAAATAGCCTCAAAATGCCCATGATAATGTGGGCTCACTTTGTTTGCCATGTTCCTCCACCCACAATGTATTCACAGACTGCTTCACTCATTTTCTGTTAAATGCCAAGAAACATTAACATTTTACTTAAAAAAATATTTTGATGGATTTGTTTCATAACTGGGAAAAAGATTGTGATTGTTAACTGAAAATATCGTTATGTGGATGTAATGATAAACTGTTTCACTGTCCATGCTAATACAATATTAACATTACATTTGGGTTAGGTAGGATATAAATTCTGGTGAGTTGGCCAGCAGAAAATTACTGTACCTAAATCGCAATGCAGCCCATGACCGAAGAAAGGTTGCCCATGCTAGACGTATACTATACAGTACATTCAACAAGTGGGAAACACTGGAACATCTTACCTTTCATTTTTATTCAAGACACACCCACTAATCCCCCACGTAACAATGGGTGACCTGATATTGCATCAGATCAGGTCAGTAACATGACCCACTAACAGAGTTGTAAAGTGAAGAAATAAAATTTAGTTGAGTACAGTATTTGGGTATTTACTTTTTAAAAAGAACTAAAATTTTTAGTACTTTTACTTAAGTATGGTTTTCTAACACTTTTACTCCAATACAATAAAAAAAAAAAAAAAACTTGCTGCTTGTTACATGCCCAAAACAATAGTTTTAAATATCCAATCACAGAACAAACGAGAAAAGTGGAAGATAACCAATCACAAGCATTTCTTCATGTCTGTAACCAATCACGTCTTCTTTCATATCATTTCATCTATGTACCCAAGCACTAAAGACCAATAAACTACCATTCTAACAATCAATGAAGATATAAACAACGGAATTTATACTATCAGCAACGGAAAAGTCACTAGAAATGCAATTAAGAGATCAGGTGAAGAGAGAGAATAGTACTTATCCTTCTAGCAAAAAATTTCTTTACTACCGTGCACAAGGTGATGTTCAATTGTGACCCAGTTGTCTGTGTGATCTCGAGTGGGGCCAAAATGGCCACGGATATAGCAGTTCTCTACCATAAGATATACACCAATTACCCCATTAATGTCCTTCTTAGGTTCCTGAAAACCATGACTAAGTGAAACAATGTTAAGTGAAAACATGGTTGGTGATAAAAAAAAAAAATCAGACTTTTTGGATTGAATAAATTTTTTTTATATATATATTTTCTAGTACAGGTTGTACCTCTCTAGTCCGGCAACCTCATGACCTGACCGGTGCCGGACCATGGAAATTCACCCTTTTCCTGGAAAGATAGTGACTTGTGCTTACGCTTGGAAGCACTAACGCCACTTTCACTGCTTCGTGGTCTCTTTGAAGATATATTGAAGGGTTAAATGTTGTACAGTAGATTCTCAAATTTTGGGAATTTTTAATTCACTTTTTTTTTTTTTGGACACAAAAAAAAAAACACTACGCAATTTAAAATTTTGAAGGCGGACACTTGAGTTTCGACGGGTTTGAGCGACCCGCCAACGTTTAGACGAGCACAAATCGTGTTAACAGTGTCATTTCTCTTATGTACAAAAGATTCATTATTGTTTATTACTTAATGTCTTTTGGATTTGATTAATTTTTGTGCGTGCAAAATGAACAATACAACTCATGAATAATATGTAGAATAATAAAACACACGAGGAGACGAGACAGCATTGTTTTCGTTGATTACAAAACCAGTGACTGACTGGATCTACATATAAAACTGAAGAAAAAAGGACCCTGGTTGTAGCTGTTGTAAAATTAATGTAAAAAAATTAATATGGTTGTTTTAAGTAATGTTATCTAATGTTAATAAATGGAACTATATAAGTAGCTAACGATTAATGGCTAAGAAAAAAGTGAGCTCACGTATCTAAGTGCGCACATGTGAAAACATATCGTCATTACTATACCTAAGAATATGAAAGGAACACTTATTTACTGTTCATATATATTTTAATTAATGTTTCTGAATTTAAAACAAAAATTCTACCCACCAGTGGTGGTAAAGTTGAAAACATAAGGACAGCCAATGTTGTTGTGTGTGTTTTTAAACGGATGACGTATGCTCAACTCTAGTTGAAGCTGTAGAACATAATAACTTTTCTGTGTTGTTTTTAGTTTTTAATTAATTTTACAGTAAAAGTCCAAAAATCCGGATGCCAGAAATCCGGACCACCCGAGAATCCGGACTTTTCGAAAACTCACTTTTTTTTTAATTTAGCGGGCTTTTAAGTGAATGTGCGCATGCGTGAGCGCCACAGCTGCACAGCGACAACCAGGGTTGCCAGATGGCTGTTTCCACGGCCAAATTTATCTAATTTGGCCGTAAAAAAACTTCGTCTGGCCGTGGAAAAGTGGATGGTCACGGCCAAACTATTTGGCCGAATTTTGTAAAACACGTATTAATTCCTCATCTAGTGGATTTTGAAGAGAAGTCTAGCAGATTTTCAAATTTCACAATGAAAATGCTGGCTCAGTGACCTCACCTTGTCATGACCTCACCTCATCAGTGACCTCACCTCTTCACATGTTTACGTGACCTACTGAGCTGACTGATCCTTCTAGTTACTACCTTAGTTGTTAGTTCTCATATTTGAGTTGTTCAGGCTGAACGTGTCCAGCATATGGGTTAAGCTTCAGAGCTTACAAAGCCATCCGAGTTACTTTCTGAAATTCCGAGTGCTAGTTTTCAAAATGTCCACTAGTAAATGGAAAGGGTCCTACGACAGTGGTAGAAAATGTAACAAACCAGGGGACGATGACGAACTAGACGTTTTTGCTTACGCCAACTCGTGTTATCAAGTTCTCCACCATTATCATGCTCCACCACCATTTCAGATTAAGGTAAATCTTCACTGCACATTATAGATATTATGTTTATGTAAATGTTGGGCCCTCTATTCGAAGTGAAAATTTGGTTTTATTGCGACATTTTAAGTGGATATTGTAGGGGATACTTTTATTTTGTGTGGATTGCAAAAATAGCCTTGTGCTTCCCCACGTTTTATAAACAAAAAACAAAAACTCAAACTAAAGGACATAAATAAACAAATAAGTACTTCACTAGACCTCCGGCCCCAACTGTCAAACACGTCACTGTCACCACACCCCCCTAAATTAACCAGGGTCTTAAATATGAATCATTGTTAGTAGAACCGTCGTTATCGGAGGCTTTCCTGTACAAAAATTCATTGCCATTTCTATAGAAAATAATGCATACATATACAACTATTAAGTTTGTATTGGTACTCACCGATGGGTGGAGGTGGTAGAATGCGTGTGTGGCGAGTAGTGAAGCGGAGGAGGTGGATGGCAGCAGGGGAAGAGTGGGAGGGTGGGAGAGGAGGAGGGTGGTGAGTCACTGAGACTGCAGCTGCCTCCTCTTGCTGCTCTGAGTGGGGTTCCTCCGCCGCTGTTTGCTCCTCCTCCGTTGTTGTTTGCTCCTCCATGACTGCTGTGTGCTCCTCCTCGGCTGCAGACTGTTGTTAAGAAGCTGCTTCTGCCGTCTCGCGATGGAAAATTTAATCCAGTGTTGACTGCTTGGTGCTACTCTTCTTCTCCT